GGAGTTGCATTGTGGTAGAATGAGGGGGTTTGGGGTTGTTTGTAACCCTCGTACCAACTGTTTTCCGTTTGGTCAAAAATTGCATTTTTATTCTTTTGTACTCATATATAACTTGGAGAGGCACCCGACTGGTAATCAAGCCTCACTTGTGTATTCCGTTTACTCGATTTTGGATGTGGAAACTTCAACTACTTTACCTTTGTTATTCTTAGGGTTTCACGGTGATTAAGGCCACTTTGGGTGAAAATTTTGACGTACCTGTACTTAAACTGGTGAGTGTACCACTCCCCTCATTTGTTGCTTAACTTGATTTCTGCACCTGCAATCTGTGATTTAAATGACTGTACTATCTGTTTATTCTGTTTAAGACGAGAGTGTATTTTATCACATTCGTTCTCTTGTCTGTCTGTATGTCTATTTACTGTGTGTAATCTATTATCTGTATCTGAATCTGTTCGGACGTCGTTTGGAGGCTGGTATCCAACGATCTTTATGTGACCTCTGAGCTCAACACCTGTGGTTAGTTACTCGAGTCGGGCCGGCAAGGGCCTGGTCGATTAGATAACGAACCACGGTAGTCTGTTTCTAGAAATCTTTGGGTATTGAGACTCTTAATTTCGGTATACTCGAGTATTACCACTTCTGTTTCTGTTGAGGTGTTCGGGCCCGATAAAGGGTATGTTTGGTGGACGAAATTTAGTGTAAAGTGGTGGGGTCTGTGAGAACCCGTAATTTGCATTTTCTCGGTTTTCACATTTTTTATGGCTTGTTTTCTGCATTTTCGTGATTAGGAAAAATTCTAGATATTGTTAAGGAGCATATATAGTTTTTAGATGATTTTTCTAGTATCGAATAGGTTTTGAGAAATTAAGAGCGTATATTGGACGTGGGACCCACAAGTGCGAAAAGTTCGGAAAAATTCGGTCAACTAGGTTAAGTTTTGGATACTGGAATTAATTTACCGGGTGTTAAGAAATAAGGAGAGGAGGTTAAGTAGATTGGTATAAGAGAGACAAAAGTTAGGCAAGCAATTAATGCAAGTGACATGTGTCACTTAGAGATTAAATCCTACTTTTGACTTCCTATTCAACCTTTTACCATTTACCATAATAAATTAAAAAATTGACCAAAATATCTTCATTTCTAAGCTTAATATGGCCGGCCACCATCAAGCAATAAGGGAAGAAAAGCTCTCCAATTTCTTTGCTCCAAACTTGCTCAATCTTCCACTCCTACCGTTTAATTTTGGTTTTGCTCCACAACACTCTTCCACTTGGTGATTTTGAAGTGATTGGTGAAGTTGTTTGAAAAGTTAAGGTGACCAATAGCTCTCTCTCTCTTGTTTCTAAGGTAAGTGGTGAAGAACCACCCTCATCCTTTAATTGATGCTTAAATCATGCTTAGTGGTAGTATAAGATGCAAGTTTATGGATTAATTTTTGATTTGTGGTTGAAATGATGAAGTTTTATTATTTTTGGGGATTTTTCTGTTTTAATATAAGAATGATTGTGTGGCTATCTATGATGATTGGAAATGGTCTATAATGACTCTAGGAGGTGGAAAAAGTGGATAATTGCAACCAATTTCTGGTTTGGAAGAAATTTCAGAAAATTAGGGTTCTTGAGGGAGCATTTTGCCCGAATTTTTAGCTCCTAGTTAGAGGCCGAATTAGCCTTGGCTTAAAACATGAAAGTTGTAGGGAATGACATTTTAGAGGTTCCTACAAAATTTCAGATCAATCGGAGTAGTGTAGAATGAGAAAAGCCGAAATTACTATTGCTGTTCTGGTTTTACCCGAATGTAAGAATTGCGCCTGTAATTGGTTGTTTTGGCTGGAATTGCTTCCGAATTGGTTGTTGAGGTCTTCTGATGAAATTTAGCCCTGTTTCTTAGCTTTCATATGGTTTTGGAATTTCTGGATTTGGAGTTGGACAGCCTGCTTTATGATGTTTCCGCTAGAATACGTTCTGTGAATCTGTTTTTGTGATTCTGGTATGGTATCTTGCATTTTTGACCTGGTTACACTCGAAACTAGGTTGAGTGACCTTATGTAATGTTGTAGCCCTATCTTTTAGCTTCGAAACGGTGGGTCTTGCACCTTCATCCGATAATCGTAGTGAAATTGGTGCCATTACCGTAAAATGAGGACAAAAACTGTTTTTTTTTTAAGACCAAAGCTAATTGCATGTCCGAATTTTCTGGTTTCCTCTAGTGTTTGTGTATGCTTATGGAACCCTATTGGGGTCATATTTGGCATTGGTTTATGACTCGTTATCGAGTCTCATTGTACTTGCTTGCATGTTTTAGGGCTTGCTTTCATTCCGGTCGTTTCCTAGCTAACTTTTGTACTTGTACTACTTTGAGCTTAGTGAACAGCTTTTGGGAAATGAGATGAATTTTGTGTGAGATGTTGGGACTGATTTGAGGATATAATGAAGCCATGATGGCTGGAAAATAGGTAAACACAAGGGATGTGCTGCCGAAATTTACTTGAAGGCTAGTTGGATTGACTTGCGATTTGAGCGAAGGGCTTTTGGGTTGTTTGCGCCTAGGTCTTCATGTTACCATTTCGTTTCCAAGAAAATCATGTTTTCCACCCTTGCATTAGTATTTATTTGGCAAGGCGTACGACGTGTAGTCGAGCCTCACTTGTGCATTCCGTTTACTCGATTTTGGATATGAAACCATCAATTGGTTTATTTTGATTATTTTAGGGTTTCTTGGCGATTAAGGCCAATCTGAAGTGAAAACTTTTGAAGTTGAGCCGGTGAGTTTACCACTCCCCTCCATTGCTGTTTAACTTGATTTCTGCTCTGCAATCTGTTTAATTTATTTGAGACGAGGGTGTACTTTATCACACTCGTTCTCTTGTCTGTTCATATGCCAATTTTGGTGTCAATCTGAATCTGTATCTGTATCTGATATCTGTATCTGTATCTGTATTTGTATCTGTATCTGTGACCTATGAGCTCAAATCCTGTGGCTAAGTTATTCGAGTCGGGCCGGCAAGGGCCTGGACGATTAGATAACGAACCACAGTAGTCTGTTTTGGGATCTTTGTGTATTGAGACCCTTGATTCCGGTATACTCGAGTATTACCATTTCTGTTTCTGTTGAGGTGAGCGAGCCCGGTAAAGGGATGTTTGGTGGACGGAATTTGGTGTAAAGTGGGGTCTACGGACGTGTTGGTTCTATATACGTTGACGGAGAGTCAACCGGCTTGGATCAAGTACTGCGCTGGAAAGCTGGCTCCTGAGAGCCACCTGTATCCTTCCTAATTGAGTTCTTGTGTTTACCTGTCTTACTTTATAGCGAGCATGTGTATCTGGTTTGTATAACGTGAACTACCTGATTTTTCTGCTACATGTTTGGTACCTCATTGGGCGTAAGCTCACCCCCTCCTCGTTATCTTTGTTTTCCTTACAGGAACCTCTTTTGGAAATCATGATTTTGAGAAGCGAGTTGAGCTAGTTAGAAAATCTTTTGTTCTTTTGTATAGCTCCTCGAGAATGAGCAAACTCTAAATGTATTTCGATTCACTGGTTCCATTTGACTCTTAAACCTAGCGACATGTATATATGAAAGCGTTTTCTCCATGTTTAAGCTTGGCGGTCTTCAATCGTTCATTTCTTTTGGGTCCTATCTCGCGTAATATCGGATTTGTGTGATTCGACTCCGTAGTCCTGGCGAGAGCTGGGCAGGCGGTCCGCTGAACCCTTTGGTTCGCCTTAGAGTGAGGTGGGGCTGTCACAGGGTCTACGGACATGTTGGTTCTATATACGTTGACGGAGAGTCAACGGGTTTGGATCAAGTTCTGCCATGGAAATCTGGCTCCTGAGAGCCACCTATATCCTTCCTATTTGAATCATTGTGTCTAACTACTTTACTTTATATCTGGCATGTATACCTGATTGGTTAAACGTGAAATGCCAAGATTTGACTGCTATTATTTTGGTACTTCATTGAGCGTAAGTTCACCCCCTTCCCGTTATCTTTGTTTTCCTTTCAGGAGCAAACTTTGAATCCATGATCTTGGAAAAAAAGGTCGAGCTAGTGTAATTAATATTTTGTTAAGCTCTTTTGCAACCGAAACCCGAATCGTATTTTAAGTGTATGAATACTTTGGCTTGTATTTTAGTTTAGTTAATTTGCCAAAGACTCCGATGTAAATATATGTATAAGTGTTTAAAGCTATTTCCCCTCTAAGCCTCCATCCATAATCTACGAGAATACCACAATTTATATCTTAATCCAGGTTAATCATGCTTACTAACACCCGAACAAACCACATGAAGTTCCATAGAATCAAATGTCTAGTTCGCCCATGTCCTTTCTAACATAGGCTCTCATCTATTTAGTAGTCGGGCACAAGAATCCCCAAATAAGATAATTCACAACTCGAGCCGGCCGGTCCCAAGAGTAAATCATCCATAGTAACGATTCCTACCCGACATACATATATATCTTTCTCAGGTACCATGATAAAGATTTTTACACTTATAACGTGCACGGTTCATAGCTTATGCTCAAAAGAGCACTTATACCTTTAGACACATTCACGAAATCAGGACCATAACACCACTTGGCCCAAGCTCACTCCGCGCACAGACCACGCGAAGCAGCTCTGATACCATCTGTGACAGCCCCACCTCACGGGTTCGGCGAACCAAAGGGTTCAGCGGACCGTCTGCCCAACTCTCGTCAGGACTACGGAGTCGAATCATACAAACCCAATATAGCACGCGCAGTAGGACCCAAAGAAAACGAACAATCGAAGACTACTAAGGTGAGAACATGCTTACCAAACCATAAAATCATATTCTCGTAAATTGTGGTATTCTCTTTTAGTTGTATCTAGCTGACTGCTACTGTGTGACTGGATCGGTACAGTTGTGTTATGTATATATGCTTTTGATCTGTGTGTACCTCTTGTTACTTGCTTATGCTTATAATTATCTTTAATGTTATATTTCCGCTTCGACCCTAGATTGGTTAGACCAATGGAGGGTACTCGTAGTGGACGAGATCGTGGGTGCGGACGTAAGCAACCCTCGAATGAAAGGGGTAACCGAGAACCAATACCTAAACCAAATCCTGAACCTAGGGTTGACCCAAATGCTCAAGTAGCCGCTGCTATCCAACGCATGACTGATCTGCTAGCCCAAGTAGTGGAACACCAGGGCCAGAACCCTAATCCTCAGCCTGGAAATCCTGGTAACCATATAGAGGGTGAGGATAGAGCCCTTGAAAGATTTCTGAAGTTGAGATCCAAGCACTATGGGATCGTGTTGCAGAGATGGCATACAAGATAGAGTTTCTTATTGACTCCTCGCTGGTTGGGGACATTCCGCATTCTTCTTCAATGTCACTTGATTCCATTCTAGAACAAATTGAAATCATCAAAGCTGAGGCCATGAAGATTATTGATACCGAAAGGCATGATGTCAAAGGTAAGGATGTTACCCAGAGGGTCAATGACATGCCATCACGGATCAATGACGTGGTGGTTGGATTGGAGGACGAGGCAAAATCAATAATCGAGCGACTAACAAGAGGTTCAAGCCAAGTGCAAATTATTCACATTGTGGGTATGGCGGGACTTGGTAAGACAACTTTAGCTAAAAAAGTTTACTGTCATCCGTCAGTTACCTCCCATTTTCATGCACGTGCTTGGTGTACTATTTCTCAAGTTTATCACCAGAAAAGACTGCTGCTTGAAATTTTGACTTGTATTGAACCCGAGCATTCTGATGAATTTCTTGAGAAGTGCGAAACAGATCTAGTTCTAATACTCAAGCAAAAATTGGGTAAGAAGAGATATCTAATTGTTTTGGATGATGTATGGGATATTGAAGCATGGAATGCATTAAAAGACTCGTTCCCTGAAAATAAAGATGGAAATGCAGTTATCATAACAAGTCGAATTCGTGGTGTTGCTCCACAAGATAAATCCGTCAAAGAGCTTCCTCTTCGTCAACTCACTCATGATGAGAGCTGGCGTTTGCTAAAACAAAAGTTATGTCCTCGAAATTACTTGCTGCTTCCAAAATTATGTGAGCTTCGAATGCAAATTGGGGAAAAATGTCAAGGGCTTCCTCTTACGATTGTCATTCTTGCTGGAATTCTGTCAAATATTGGTCAAGATGGTTGGGAAGATGTTGTAGAGAGCTTAAGTGCACACACTGTTTCTACCACTGATCAATGCACTGCTACATTAGAGCTGAGTTACGATCATCTACCAGATAGATTAAAACCGTGCTTTCTTTATTTGGGAGCGTTTCCAGAAGACCAGGAATACACACCCAAGAGTTTGATTCAGTTATGGGTCGCTGAAGGATTTGTGCGAAAATCTCAGATCAAGAGCTCAGAGGATGTGGCAAATGATTACATGATGGATCTCACTGGCAGAAGTTTGATCATGGTGTCCAAAACAAGCTCCATTGGAGGGGTCAAAGCTTGTCGTGTCCACGATCTGTTACATGAGTTTTGCTTAACAAAAGCCAAAGGAGACAATTTTTTCCAACTTGTACGTCGGTATAATGAACTGTATACTCTACACATACCACACTACCTACGCCGCTTGTGCATTTACTCTGAGCCAGAGCACATTCGTGAGTCAAGGCTTTTTTCTCCCACCATACGTAGTCTATTGTTCTTTGCTCATGGTAAAACGAACCAAGAAAAGTCATTTCATGAAAAAAAGTGGTTTGATCATTCATTCATTTTTCATGCCTTCAAGCTTGTTAGAGTATTGGATTTAAGCCAAATTCATTTAGGATTTACTTTTCCCAGAGAAATAGAGTTGCTTGTTCTGTTGAGGTACTTGGCGGTTATGGTTGATATGCTTTCTATCCCGTCATCCATAGCCAATCTTCTGAATTGGGAAACTTTCATTGTGAGATCGGGAATGTCAATTTCACTGCCAGATACCATTTGGAATCTGAAGAAATTGAGGCACTTGCATATAGATGGATTTGATTGGCCCATCGACAATCTTGACAACTCTTCAAATTTGTGCAATTTAGTTTCTTTCTCCGGTGCAATTCCTGGACAAGTTATTCAAAATGTTTCCAAATATCCGCAAGATGAAATGCCAAATTTTGAATGTTGATTCACCTTCTTGGCGTAAAAGGACAACTGTTCTTGGGCTTGACTTTCTAAGTCAACTAGAATCATTCAACTTGGGCATGCTCGGAGGATCTTGTATCCCGGAGTATCAGATTGTGTTTCAATTCTCTCTGTCTCTTAGAAAATTGACTTTGTCAAGCTTTCGGCTGACAAGGAGACAAATGGAAGCAATTGCAAGTCTAACCAATCTTGAGGTTCTCAAATTACTTTGGGCAAGCATTGAGGATAAAATATGGAGCGTGGAAGAAGAGGAATTCCCTAATCTCAGATTCTTGAAATTATATTCTGAAGGCATTGTCACTCGGGAAGCCTGCGAGTGTCCTTTTCGTCGTTTAGAGAAATTAGTATTGCATCACTGTCTTGAATTGGGCTAATTACTCCGAATATGGTCGAGAAAAAAAAAATTCAGACATCTACCGTCCTGACAATAGTCTATTGCAAATCTATGGGTACCGGGCCGTGTCAGCCCGGCACCCAAAAATCAGTCAAATTTTTTTTTGGGTTCTGACATGTCAACCCGACAGCAGGAAAAAAAAAAATTTTAAAAGTTGTCGGCTGCTGAGTTGACAAGGTCCGGTAGCCAACAACTTCTGCAAAAAAAAGCTGGCTGCCGGGCTGAGAGAGCTCGGCAGCAAGTCTAATTTTTTTAAAAAAAAAATTTGCAAACTCTCCGTGGAAAGTTCACTTTTCTGCGCATAAGAAGCAGAAGCACTGCAAGGAGGCCAACTCTACTATGTGGAGACGCACAAAGAAGTATATTCGTGTAACAGCCCCACTTTCCCCTAAGGCGAACCAAAGGGGTTAGCGGACTGCCTGCCCAGCTCTCGCCAGGACTACGGATCAGATTAGAGCTATCTATTGCGATCCGGAACTTACAAACGAGCGTAAACAGGTCAAAATGGTAAAATAACCCAAAATAAAAAAATGAAATCCGGAGTCGGTCATGAATAGGAACCGATCCGTCAAAACCCAACCGAAAGAGCACGCAAACATTCACATCTGAACTTTAGCGATTACAATCCAAAAGGACATACAAAAAGCTTTCAAAAGATAATACATATACACGGTTTGCCAAATCAAAAGAGAAACGCCCCAAAAGTACACTTAGGGTTTTAATACATGAGCTATACAAAAGATATGTTCAGCTAGCTCAAGTCGGCAACCGATTATCAAATCCAGTCCAAAAGTATTTATTTTTCCTGTAAGGAAAACAAAAGGAACAGAACGGGGTGAGCTTGCGCTCAATGAGGTACCAAACAGATAGCATTAAAATCATGGCATTTCACATTTAACAAATCAGATACACATGTCAGATGTAAAGCAAAGGAACCAATGATTCAAATCAGAAGGATACGGTGTGGCTCTCAGGAGCCAAATTTCCAGCGCAATACTTGATCCTAACCGGTTGACTCTCCGTCAACGTATATAGAACCAATGCGTCCGTAGACCCCTCTTATCACCGAATTCCGTCCACCAAACACCCCTTTACCGGGCCCGCTCACCTCAAACGAACAAAAATGGTAATACTCGAGTATACCCGGAATCAAGGGTCTCAATACCCAAAATCGCCGAACAGACTACCGTGGTTCGTTATCTAATCGTCCAGGCCCTTGCCGGCCCGACTCGAACAACTTAGCCACAGGATTGAGCTCATAGGTCATAGAAATCCGAACAGATGCAGACACAGATAACAGATTCAAATTTTGCATAGTAAATTGGCATATGAACAGACTAGAGAACGAGTGTGATAAAGTACACCCTCGTCTCGAACAAATAAACAGATTGCAGAGCAGAAATCAAGTTAAATAGCAATGGAGGGGAGTGGTACACTCACCGGCTTAACTTCAAAAGTTTTCACTTCAGATTGGCCTTAATCGCCAAGAAACCCTAAAATAATCAAAATAAATCAATTGAAGGTTTTACTTCCAGAATCGAGTAAACACAATGCACATGAGGCTCGACTACTAGTCGTATGCCTCGCCAAAATAATTACTAATGCAAGGGTGGAAAACATGATTTTCTTGGAAACAAAAAGGTAACATGAAGACTTAGGCGCAAACAACCCAAAAGCCTTTCATTCTACCAAAAGGCAAATCCAACTTAAAGGAACCAACGGCCTAGAAAATCGGGCAGCACTTCCCCTAAAATTCTTACTTTTCCAGCCATTAAGGCTTCATTATTTTTCTTCAATCACAACCCAACAACACACAGATAAGCATTTCATGTCAAGAGCCGTTCCATAGGCTCACAATATCATAAAACAAGAAACCATACCGAGTCATAAACAACACCAATTCACAACCCCAATAGGGTTTTATAAACATATACCAGCATGAAAGCAAACCAGAAATGAAGAAAGGGCTTTAACCTAAGCCTTGATAAGAAAACCGGATTTGACCTCATAATGCGGTAATGGCACAACTCTCACTACAAATGTCGGATGGGGGTGTAAGACCCACCGATTCGAAGCTATGAAACAGGGCTACAACAATGCAGAAGGGCACTCAATCCAGTTCCTAGCTTAACTAGGTCGAAAGTGCCAAATACTATACCAGAATTACCAAAACAGGTTTGCAAAACACAGAAAACTGTAATTACTATAACTCAGTCTATACAAGTCCAAATGCCGAAATTCCAAAGGAATATGATAGCTAAGACATCCAGTAACATTTCATCAGAAGACACCAACTTCAAAATCCAAACCAAATCCAGTCAAAATAGGCAATTACTATCGCAGTTCCGCACATTCTGTTCACCAAAAACAGCAACAGTAAAAACGGCATAACTCTCTCTATACTACTCCAAATTCCCTGAAATTTTGCAGGCACTTCTTACTCACCAATACCTACAACTTTCATGTTTTGAGAAAAGTCAAATTCGGCCTCTAGCTATGACCTAAAATTTCGGACAGAATAGGGGATTTAAGAACCCTAACTTTTCAATTTTCACACCAAATCCAAAATTGATTGCATTTAACCACAATTCACACTCACTAGAGTCATTTCCAACCATTACAATCCATCATACAAGCACCCAACATCAAGATCATATTAAACCAGAAAAATCATCAATAAAATGAAAAACTTCACCAAATCACTTCAAACCAAGATAAAACCAGAAATTCCAGCACTTCAAGCACTACTAAGCATAATTTAAGCTTCATAGGGTGTAAGAGGGTGTTCAAGCTTCACTTACCAAGAAACAAGAGAGAAGAGGTTGTTGAACACCTTAAACCTTCAACCAAGCTTCAATAAACAACTTACTAGCACTAGAAGGTAAGATTGTATGGAATGGAATTGGATGTAACCAATGTTTTTGGTTGATTTGCAACAAGTAGAAGCTTGAATGGTGAAGAAAGTTTCTTCCTTCCTTGCTCAAGGTGGCCGGCCAACAAGAGAAGAAAAATGGTGATTTTTTGTGCATTTTTTTGATATATAATCCTTTGGTCAAAAAAGTCAAAATTGGGAATAGTAATTCTTAAAAAAACTTCCAATGAGGAGGTGACACTTGTCACCTCCATAAATGCATTCTTATCTTTCTTTCCTCTCTCACATCAATCACTTCACACATTCTACTTATCACTTAACACCCGATAAATTTTAAACAGTATCCGAAACTTAACCTTATTGGCCGAATTTTTCCGAACTTTTCGCACTAGTGGGTCCCACGTCCACTATTTACTCTTAATTTTCTAAAAATTCTCCAATGCTAGAAAAAATCATCTTAAAACTATAATTGCTCATAAAATCCACTAAGAAAATATTTCTAAACCAGAAAATGCAGAAAACATGCAATTAAAGGGAACTAAACCCTAAGAAAATAATTAGGGTTTTACGGGTTCTCACAATTCGGGCACCGGAGAAAGCGAATTATGTATGAATAAAAAATGTTATATATTTTAAAATTATAATAAAAGTCCTCTTAAAAATTTATTCATCATCATCTAATGTCCAATACTTATATTTGATAAATTAAAATAGTTAATTAAATATTCTATTATAATATAAGTAACTATATGTCATTGAGTCGAATGAATAATATTTTCTTTTTTCTTTTTTTGGCATTTCAACTAGTTGTCTATTAAGTTTCAATTGAAATAAAGATTTTATAATTATTTAAATTATTCAATAAAATTATCAATTTAAGATGAACATAAATATAAATACATTAAATTGTATTATTGAAATATTTAATTTAATATGAAGGAAAGACAAGAAGAAATGGCAAGAAATTTTTAAAAAATTCATGTGAGTTCTTTATATTGGTAATCACCTTTATTTGTTATTATAATCATAATACCTGATCATAACCGATTGAAACTCATATCCTAATACTATTTACAACTAAAGTTACTATATACTCAAATTAAAATTTTCTTTTTTTCACTAAATTTTCTTTTATATATGATGTATGTGTTATCATTTTTTGATAATTAATATAACGAAAAGATGCTCTTTAGACTAATATGTCTTGACAACGTGGATTACTTTTAAGGATTTGAATGAGAACTAGACCCTATTTTTTATGTATTCAATCTAATTCACATAATATTTCATTTGAAATATAATTATTTAAAACATAAGAGACCAAAAAATATGAAGTCAAACTTTTGACTAATTCTAACTTGATTTGACCGTTATATATTATAGTTTTGTATTAGTTGTCCTAAATTTGGCTAAAATAAAAAATTTGCAAGGAGATAATTATTTTGGTCAAAATATTACGGATTAGTTTAACTCATAGACCAAATGTTGGAGGGACCAAAATTGCACATGTTCCTTTATTTTAATCATATTTGATATCCTAACCCTTTCTTTTATATTTACGCCTCAATTATTTCAAATATGAAACTCAATTAAAAACTAAAATCTACCACAATATTTGTTTTGACATGTACAAAATTCACTAAATAATGTTGAAAATTTCACCCATTTTCCAATACAACAATTTCGTTCTTATTTTTATTAAAAATTTATGC